TACAAACGATATCATTGTAGGTAGGTGTCACAATACGGAGACATGAAGAAATTTTGATGACACCAAAGCTGTCGCTAGGCGCAAGCAAAGAAGATGTAATGAAAGTATCAAATAGCTTATAAACTCGTTTGTATGGGTCCGAGTAGACAAACCACAACCTCCCGTAATGATTTTGTATTTCAAAATTCTTCACTTTATCGAAGAAATTTATTTCTATGTTAGAGAATTACAGCTAAAATGCCTTTAAGATGACACTATCATTGATTTTGTTTTCCAGAATCATCTATATTATTGGGGAAAATTATATTTATAAAATGTAAATTGCAACTAGAAGCCCTTGATCTCTTTCGACGATGTAATGACAAATATGATGTTTATCCATATGTAACTTGCGGCAAAATGATAAAGAAGAAAGAAAGTTTGAACTCTTTGTATTAATAAATTGATGATTTATTATAAGGTACAACATTTATACATGCATAATTTTTATGATTAGGATAACTATTTAAAATTAATAAAATGTCATACAAATTATGACAAATTAGCTTGTGCAACCCGTGGATGCATAAAATGTCATACAAATTAGCTTGTAAAATGAAAAATAAAATAAAAATACTATTCAACTAAAAAGTATGAGCATCACTAATGGAGGGTTCTCTAATATCTAAATATACCTATATATGAATCTCCCGTTGGGGTGATCTAACGAGGAATGAAACTTATCAAGCAAAAGAAAACCTCTAACCATAAAAAAAAACGCGTGGACAAAATATCTCAATCGCAACGTGAGCTCGGATATTTTCTAGTAAATTAACAACATGATTTTTGTATCATAACTACTAAAATATGCAAAACCCCTAGCCGTGAGAGAGGGAGGAAAGAGATTTCTGTTAGTCAGTCAGCCATTATTTGTGTTAGTAGTTAGCCATTAGAATGAGTTTTCTAAAGTAAAAAGGTTAGAGCAATAATTAAGCTAAAAGGGTCCAAAGCCCTAATGAGAATCAATATCACCAAGAAATAAACCCATCAAATGTCAATGTTTGAAATTACGAAATATCCAATGCAACCAGTCGAACTCTTGTTAGCCGTGATTCACTCCAAAACGTCAACAAGTACATTACCTGCATCAAAGCCTCAAGCTCGACAATCTTCAGATTTACCATGTATGTCAATTACATCTTCTCATGCATCTATGCATGGAACCAGATCTATATTTGGGAGATAAGGAAACAAACTTCAAATATGTGTATCAGTTAGCAACTGGAATATTTGGTGAAGTGACTCAAATTTTATAATCAATCAGGTAACTAAAAAAACTCTTCAATATTTTGTGTAACTACTTTTTGATGGGAATTTTTTCTATTCGTTATTTATACGAAGTAAAAGAAATTATGGCGCAGCCATTGATAATAATAATTGATTCTTAGCGAGGTTTCTCTAAAGATAATATACTACAGTTCCAAAAGCTTTTTCCTTCTCTACTTTTAGCATGAATGGCATTCTCAGATGAGCACTAGCTAGAGACTAAATATATAAAGGTAATAATTAATCTTTTGAGCTAAATATAAGGGATAATTGCTTTGTTGTCTTTCTCTTCATTGTCCAAATCAAACCTCCTATGTCTTCCAAATAATTCACCAAATTATTTTAAAAATATATCCTCAATAAAATTATTAGTCCTTACGGTACTTTTTAGATCCAAACACATGATAAGTGTACTTAATTCGGATGTCTTTCCACATATTCTTGTCAGAAAACCTAGTTCCCATTTTACAAGTAGTTTCTAAGAAAAATATATATATTTAAAAGCAGGCCGATTATTTTATATTCTGAGGCAAATGAAGAAAAAGTGCTAGTATATATGGCCCGGTCATACATGACTCTTTATTTATAATGACTTTTTGTACAGTTTTCTTTTTATAGATACTCGATTGATTTCTCACTTCAGTTAGCATTTTAACCTAATTTACATGTTACATAAAATGATATTTATTATTTTTATATACAAGTTTAAATCGAAAACTTTCACAACGAACACATAACAAATTTGGGTTCCGAAATAGCAACTTCTTTTTCAACATTCCACTAGTAGCAAGATCAATATAAAATAACTAAAATTCATTTTAAAGGAAGGAATGAATCTACATTCTAAATTAAAATGGGGAATCCAAAAATTGGTGCTTTAGTATTTTATTTTGGGCAAACAAATATTTTCACACAATAGCTTGTGCTATTTTGGAACCTATATTTTGTTGTGCTAGCTTTGGATTAAAAACTACTTTTGTGCTATTTGTAGTAATACTTTGTGTGGTGCACACAAAAAAGTTATACTTTGTGTAAAATGATATCTGATATATATGTTTTCATTTTATTATTTTAATTTTTCAGTTAGAGATATGACTAAGGACTAATGAATTAAATTTTAAGCATTTATTTCTTTTCATATAGATATATCTATTCCTAGAATATATAATATAAAGTTTAGTCTTAAACACTAGATGAAGGAAGTATATATGTTTACTGTATAGGAAGAAATATTCAAACATTAATCTCGAACAAAAAAACATTATTCTCAAAGAGACGAATATATAAATATAAATATAAATATATATGCTCCGAAAACATACCAAGGTGAACTCATGTATATTTGATTTTTACTGTTAAGTATCAAGCGTTTCTATAAGTGGAAAATAAAGTACTTTAGTTAATTGGTTAAGTCCTATATATATAACAAATGGGGAAGTATATTAGTCAAAATACTTAGTTGTCTACATAATTAAACGAAGAAACAGGTTTCACGCAAAAAATAAAAATAATAGTCCTATACATATATCTTTTAAAAATGGAAAAGGCGAGTAGATTTGTAAAATAACAGAGATATGGTGAACTAATGTAAACATACATAAATACGAAGAGAAGGAACTTAAACATTCTTCTCCTATCTCGCACTCACACTCATACACACACACACACTCGTTCCGAGCTTCTATGTCAGTCCTTTTTTCGTAGTCACCAACATTTATTTTTGTTATAATTAAGCGAAGTGTGATAATATACAATATACAAATATCTATATCTATATATATATATATATGAGCATGTGCAGATCCAACATGAATAGCAATGAATCTGGAGAGATTATAAACGTAGAATGCGACGTTTCAACGTCCGTCAAAGAAGAAAGTAGCAGCAACGCCAAATTCTCCGCTGGACTTCGCAGCATCCCTTTCAATGAGGCTTGTTTAGCTTTCCTTTTTTTTCTTTTTCGTTTTCTAGGTTTTCTTCCACAAAATCTTTCATAGTTGTCTTGTGTGTTTGTTATGCAACTAGTTTCATGATTCAGGACATGTTCACATATTCAGAATCATACTGTTCCCGATGTTTAACTAGCCAATTAGTTGATTTTGATGGATTATTTCATTTCAGTCATATTTACAGTATTGTGGGGGTCTAGATAATATGGAATTCTTAGAACTTGATCTTAGACTAGATTGAACGCTGATTTTGACTGTTTTGTAGAATTTTAATGGAAATATTTGAAGAAAACGTCAAATATTTCACTTAGCTAACAAACGTGTTGACATCCGTTATACGTAACTATTGTCTATGTATATCTAATGTTTGATTGTATGTGTATGTGTATATTGATATTCATATGTATGCATAAAGTGTCACTGGCATGATATGTATCCGCAGTGTCCTGGACTGAGATAATGTTTTATTTAGTTGTACTTGGGAAAGTTTTCCAAATCTCAGTATATTTTTTATTAGTTCGTTTAGTTAGTACAAAGTACTTTATTATCTTATATTAGTTTCATTAAAATAATCTTGTTACTTTTTTTTTGAAAAAAAAATAATTTTGTTACTTTATGATTTAGTTTCTTGAAATCCTTTATCTTTATTTTAAAACAAATCAGTACTTTTCCAAGACGAGTTTATGCAACAGTATTGGTATTTCTAGTGAAGTTCATGAAATGAAAGATGTCTAAGCTGAATTTTTTTTTTTCAAAAGAAAATAAGAAGGGGAGCTTTGTAGAACCCACCCACCCATGCATGATGATTTTCATTTAAAAAGATCGTAGAATGTTGGTACAGTTAGTCATTCTCTTTTCTGTCCCTTATGAATTTGAGTATTTAGTTCTAAAAGGTATAGAATGTAAACCTTTTCTCTTCTTTTTGAACTTTCTCATTCCAGTCCCAGTGGCCATGTGATGCGGCCATCTTCCTCGTGCTTCCAAATCGCGCTTGATTATTTTAACGATNTCATTTAAAAAGATCGTAGAATGTTGGTACAGTTAGTCATTCTCTTTTCTGTCCCTTATGAATTTGAGTATTTAGTTCTAAAAGGTATAGAATGTAAACCTTTTCTCTTCTTTTTGAACTTTCTCATTCCAGTCCCAGTGGCCATGTGATGCGGCCATCTTCCTCGTGCTTCCAAATCGCGCTTGATTATTTTAACGATTAATATTCATCGTATTATTTGTAATATCCTTCTGTTTTATCACTATAATATTTTATTTACTATTTTGTATAAAATTGTAATTTTAATTTAAATGTACAAAATTATTCAAATACTATTTTTATATATTTCTTTAATTTCTAAAATAAAGTTGTTTAGTTTTTTTTTGGGGTTCAATACTTGTTTAGCTTCGTTGTGTAACAAGTACTAATGAGTGTATAAATTTAATGTGTATGAAATATCATATTAAACGTTATACAGAGATACACATACAAAACTACTATTTTTATGTCTAAATTGTCAATATACTTACTTATATCGCGCCTCATTCAATATAATATTTTTCTTGAATGCGTTTAGCTATAAGTCTATAGAACAGTATAATAATAAATAGTGTTCATCAATTGTAAATAACTACGTAACGAACATAACATAACTTTGTTTTCCCATGCAGGTGGGAGAAGAGATAGCGTCGCTCACAAAAATAGCGTGCCCGATCGTTATGACATCACTCCTCATCTTCTCAAGATCAATAATCTCAATGTGGTTTCTCAGTCACCTCGGAAAAGTCGAACTTGCTGGCGGTGCACTCGCCATGGGCTTCGGTAACATCACCGGAGTCTCAGTACTCAAAGGTCTTTCCGTTGGTATGGACCCAATCTGTGGTCAAGCCTTTGGAGCCAAACGCTGGACCGTACTTAGCCACACGTTTCAGAAAATGTTATGTCTCTTAACCGTCGTGTCTCTTCCAATAGCCGTTGCATGGCTCAACATCGAACCCCTTTTCCTCATGTTGGGTCAGGACCCGGATATAACCAGAGTATCCAAAACTTACATGCTCTTCTTCATCCCTGAGCTACTAGCTCAAGCCATGCTCCACCCGCTCCGAACGTTCCTCAGAACGCAAGGCTTAACGTCAGCTTTAACCATATCTGCAATCGTATCCATCCTTCTCCATCCTATATTTAGTTACGTCTTCGTTATGCGTATGCGTTTAGGCGTCAAAGGCGTCGCGATCGCAATGGCTTTCAACACTATGAACATCAACGTGGGACTGCTCGTTTACACGTGCGTTTCGGATTCTCTAATCAAACCGTGGCAAGGGCTAGCGTTTCGGTCGCTTTTCCGCGGCTGGTGGCCGCTGCTTTCTCTAGCCGCACCAAGCGCTATCTCGGTTTGTTTGGAGTATTGGTGGTATGAGATAATGCTTTTCCTTTGTGGTCTTCTCGGGAACCCTAAAGCGAGTGTGTCGGCTATGGGGATATTGATTCAGACAACAGGGATACTCTACGTAGTCCCATTCGCTATAAGCACGGCCATTGCAACCCGTGTAGGACACGCGCTTGGTGGAGGGCAACCCACGCGAGCTCAGTGTACAACCATCATTGGTTTGATACTCGCAGTAGCGTATGGTTTATCAGCTGCTGTGTTTGTGACCGCTCTTAGGACGGTTTGGGGAAAGATGTTCACGGACGAACCGGAGATTCTTGGGTTGATTTCGTCCGCACTACCAATCTTGGGGCTTTGCGAGATAGGGAACTCGCCACAGACAGCTGCTTGTGGAGTTTTGACGGGCACAGCGAGGCCTAAAGAAGGGGTACGCGTTAACCTCTGCGCGTTCTACATCGTGGGGTTGCCTGTGGCAGTCACGACCACGTTTGGGTTTAAAGTTGGGTTTTGTGGGCTATGGTATGGACTTTTGGCTGCGCAGATTACATGTCTGGTTATGATGCTTTGTACGGTGATTCGTACGGACTGGACTCACCAGGTGAAGCGAGCTGAGGAACTTACCTCATCTGCCACAGAGAGAAGTTATTATTCGGAAGAAGAGACCATCCATATTGAAGATGATGATGTTGGTAGCAATGATCTGGAGACTAGTTTATTACAATAACACAAATGGGTAGTCTAGAATTCTGGCGAGAATTGTAATGATTGTTAATTAGCATATAGGATTTTTTTTTTTTTCGTTTTGGGCAAACTAATAAACCCAAGATAGATGCATCCGAATTGTTATAACCAATATTTTGGTAAAAGAGCTTGTAAGTACCATTTAGTTGGGTCGAGCTTAGTTTTTGCTAACATGTCATAAGATAGTATTTTATCATTATTATTTCCATATAGCTCTTTATGTAAAGTAAGTCAGACTCATAAGTATATATATTGTAAGTTGAGTGTTTTTTGATTCATTCAAACGCCTCTAAATTATGCATGCAATAAGCCTGACCCTTACCAAAAAAAAAACATTCAGACCGTTGTTTTTCAATTATAAAGTGAAACTCTAGACTTTTTCTTTGGATGGCTAGGATTGGTTTCAACATAAAGCATTTTCAACTCAACTTCGAAATAATTTAACAGCAATATAAAACTAATACATAATATAACTAAATTGTTAAATTAAGTATTTTAAAAATGATCATTATATAAGAAAATTATATCCATACTTATAAAAATATTAAAATATAAACTATTTTAAATATTATTTTACTTTGATGCAATTTTTAAACTTAATTCTTCGAAATGATGCTTTTCAGTTTTTTTTTTTAAAGGGTTTGCTAAGACTCTTTTCAGTTCATCCCCTATATATTATTTGAGAATCATTTAAAAAGTTGTAACCTTAAGTTTGTAAGAATTAATAATAACCCCAATCCTATGTGGCATATCTCTTTAGGTTCTATTTCAAATTCCAAGGATTCTAGAGCATGTGATATAATGTATAGTTTAAAAATTATATTCTCTAGCAATATAATTTTTTGTAGGTTATAGTTGGTCGCATATATCAAATATTTATTGCTTCGCATGCTTTCCTTAAATAACCTACGGAATTACCTAATATGATTAAAATATATATGATAATTAATGATTTTAAACAATAAAGATTTGATAACAATCTTCATACATTTTTCTCATTTTGTTTATTTATTTATTATTAAATAAATTACACAATTAAATTAATCATATAATAAAAATCTAGATTTTTTTGTGTGTATGTTGTATTTCGAATTTTTCAGTATAAATTACTAAAACAGTTAAAAGTCTCATATAAACTTTTAGGATCAAGGTTTTAATTTTTTCAATATTAAAATATAGTGATTATAAGACCATATTAAGAAATAATTTTAAGTTTATATATATTTCATATCGTTTTAATTAAACTATATATCATATGAAAATACATACTTATATTTTGATATTTGCCTTGAACATATATTGAAAAGTTAATATTTTAATTTTGAAATATGTCATTTGTTTTTTTAAAATGATTATAAATTATTGAAACTACTAAACATCTCACATTTAAAAAAATTTGTTGGTGTAAAGTCTGTTACATAAATATGAAAATAATCATAAAATAATGTGAGTAAAAACCTCATTTAATAAATATCCAAATTAAAAGTGTTCTATATTACTATGTTTATATCATTTAAATTTAATTATATATCATATATAATATATAAGATTGATTATTTTATTTATTTACCATAATTGCGAATAAACAAAGTGATAGTTAAATTTATATGCATACGTCAATTTATCACATAAAAGTAATTGATTTTTTAGTTATTTAATCTATATATTTATTATTTTATTATTTTATAATATGCATAGAAATATAAAATAAATAGCAAATATAAAATACTTATTGTGCATAAAGTGCAGATCTTAACCTAAGTATGTATCTCTTTAATTATTTTAAATCTTAAGTATTTTCTAAATCTCAGGCCAAAACAAACAAACGAATTGAGAATAAACTTCAAAATAAATATTTATCTCGAGTAATAACCAAAATATAAAAAACACAACAAGAGAAAAAAAAGATAAATAGGATTGACACGCGAATGTAAGCTTCTCATAACCATAATTAATTTTTAAATTATTAAATCATGATAAAAAACTGAGTTAATTTTTAATTTGTTAATTTTTTTAATTTTTTAAATCATTGTGGTTATGTTAAATCATGACCATAATTAATTTTAAATTGTTTATTTGTATTTGAAAAATTTTAAATATTTTAAAAAAAATAATTTAAATTTTAACTTAATTTTTTATAAAATTAAAAACAAATTGTAGAAAATATAGTTTTCTAATACTATTAGAAAAAAATAAATAAATTATATTAAATTAATTTTGAAACTTTATATATTTTAAATGCAAGTATTTTACCAACTGCTTCTTACAAAAACATTAGGATACTTGCTAATACCCTACCAATCAAGTCCAATGACACTCCGTTTATTTTCCGTCACTTGAACACTGAAAAGTGAAAAGATATATGAAATCAAGTCCACTAAATTCTAAGATTTGATCTACAGTTCTAATTACAATTGTTTCTGATCCTANTTTTACCAACTGCTTCTTACAAAAACATTAGGATACTTGCTAATACCCTACCAATCAAGTCCAATGACACTCCGTTTATTTTCCGTCACTTGAACACTGAAAAGTGAAAAGATATATGAAATCAAGTCCACTAAATTCTAAGATTTGATCTACAGTTCTAATTACAATTGTTTCTGATCCTACGTATAAATAATTATATGAAAATTCCAAAATTCTAAAATTTCAAATACATATAAAAACAATCATATATAAATTTTAATTTGTCAATACTAAAATTTTATATTTTAATTACATATATTCACACTGCGCAAGGCGCAGGTCTTATCCTAATATTAAATTAAATCCAAGTATACACGGATCATTTTGTTTGGGTCAGATAGTATCAATGTTGAGTTTTAAAAACTTTCGACTCAATATCTTGATCAGTATAAATAAATTGATCGGTATTTCTAAGCCCCCTGAGACGTCCCGAGGTAAATTAAATTGATAACGATGTTTCATGAAATATATAGATCTGCTCCTTTTCTTTGGGTCATATGTATTTACACCCATATACTTATAGCTCACACGTCATGTGCCCACATATACTATTTTTGCATGTGGCATTTTCGGTGCCTAATAATCAAGTTTTCAAACAAAGTAAAAGGCATAAATTATGAATCCCTTTAGGCACCGACTTATTTGAAACAGTTAATCTTAAGTAAATAAGATTACACATGAATGAAACTAAATTAACTTAATTTGGCGTATTCTATCTGGGATAGCCACATAAGACAACATTTACCATATTTTGTGACCAAATAACACTAAGTAAGTTTAAAAAAAAAACACTAAGTAAAAGATAAAGATAAATGTAAATATAAAAATTACTAGTTAAATATATATAGCTAAACGGGAAGTTTCATTCTTACAAAATGAAATAGGATAAATGAACTGATGTGGTTTATTAGTCTATAAATTTTCAAATTTGAATGTGAATATCATATATTAATGCTGACAAGAGTAAAATCATTATTCTGCAGTAGGTAGATAAGAAAAACTAAAAGATTAAATTTCTTGGTGTATATTGAATGAGGGTCGATATAGGTATTAAATTTCAAAATATACATTCCTATTTCAAAATTTATACTCTCAAATTTGATAGACCTTATAAAGCCAGTAAATTAAGCCAAATTACTATCATAAATTAACAACTATGTATTATTGAATAACTTCATCTTAATACGATTTAGTTGAAATTTACTTTAACTTTTTGAAAGAAAATAATTGTAGGAAGCAAAATGTTACAATTTTTTGGGGAAAATGGTAAATTAATAACATTGTTGAGTTACATGGCACACTGAATTTTTATGTTTTTCTTATTAACAAAGACACATACTACATTTTAATTAATCAATTTTTAAATCCTTATAAAAGTAAAATCTAACTCGTTAAAATCTAGCTAAATGTACAAGTATTACCTAGTTTTACCAGAATAAGAATAGAAAATAGTATTATTGTGGGGGGAGAGGGAAGATCAAAGTGACTATGGCCTTGAAAAGTAAAGCAACCGACAGTGAGCCCATCCGACCCATGTGTTGTGTATTCAATTTTCTTATGTGTATCAGTCAGTTTTTCACATAATGACGTTCCATCTACATCTATGGTATGGGATGACATGACAATCCTATATCTTCTCTTGTATGTTATCCTCACGGAGAAAATTTTATGGAAAAGGTAAGCACAATATAAATATGATATTTATTATTTTTTTGGTAAATGATATTTATTATTTATTAAAACCAAATCAATCTTATCATGAAAACAAAAATCTCCAATTCGTGTTAATATGTATATCATTGGATTTTTGCTCGTCAAAAACAGCTCTGCTGACTTCTCTTGCCTCGTCAATTTTTAGATCGTAACACTGTAATCGCACAGAAAGTATACAGTAAGCTATTAAAGTATGTGTTTGACATATTTTAAGCAACTCATTTGATCATTCACCAATTGCTTTTGAATCCATATTATAGTTGGTTTTTTTTTGTAGCTATAGGGTGCAATTTTACTTTTTAATTTAGCAAAAAAAAAACAAGCAAAACTTATAGTTGGTTTTGTTTGAGAAAGACAATGATGATACATATGAGAGTTTGAAACTCATATGTGTTCTTTCTTGTTTTGTAAATTGAGAGTGCAGCATTTTTTTTTTGTACTCAAGCACTGAAGCACGTATATATTTATAGAACTGAGAGAGAACACTGCTAGTAATCAACGTACGTCATGCATGATTCTAATTATTATATAAAAGAGATTGAACATGATTTTAAGATAAAAAAAAATAGATAATTAACGAAAGTTGTATGTAAAATAACTATTTCCACATCTGCATTCCCGTTTTGTTTAAGTAAGACATCTATAAAAATTAAATACTTAAGACATGATGTGAGGTCCTACGTATAAAACAAGAACGTAGGTTGTAGAAGTTTCATATAAAAATAATCAAGATGTCAAACGAAATAAGACGTGACGTGAGGTCCTACATAATTAGCTAGGAACCTCTGCATTAAATGAAACCAACAACCAACCAACTACGTACTCCCTTCCTCTAAATCGCATTCACATTCATAACATAAACTCTCCTTGTCTATATAAACACTCACTCCCCAGATCTCTTCATCACTCATCATTCCACACACATCTCATTTACAAACAATAAAAAAAAAACTAAGAGAGAAATATGGCTGGTCTAGTGAAGTTAGCATGCTTGGTCTTGGCCTGTATGATCGTGGCCGGTCCAATCACATCTAACGCGGCTCTGAGCTGTGGCACCGTTAGCAGCTACGTGGCACCGTGCATTGGCTACCTAGCCCAGGGTGCGCCGGCTCTTCCCAGAGCGTGCTGCAGCGGCGTTACTAGTCTAAACAACGTGGCCCGTACAACCCCAGACCGTCAGCAAGCTTGCCGTTGCCTTGTAGGAGCCGCTAATGCCTTCCCTACTCTCAACGCTGCACGTGCAGCTGGACTTCCTGCGGCCTGTGGAGTCAATATTCCTTACAAGATCAGCAAAAGCACCAACTGCAACAGGTATATATGTCTTAATCTCTCTCTCTCGCTCTCTCTGAGGTTATTTTAGAACAAGAAGTAGATAATATCAGGATTATTTTGTTAAATGACCAAAAAAAAACTTTAAGTTTTTATATTAAACGGTTTAATGTTTTACTAAAGTATCGAAATCCTGTTTAATCATGTTCGAATGGAAAATTTGAAGTTCTTATATCCGTGCAAAAGTTTTTACCAAAAAAGTATATATATTAAAGTTTTTATTTTGTTTAACGGAGATTTGAGTATTTTATAATAACGGTGATATGATTGTTTGTATGTTGTTGCAGCGTGAAATGAGAAGCGGTCGGATGAAGCTAATGCGGACGTTTGGAATATTATGTAATGGATGAGAGAGTACTAAAATAAGATGTTCGAATGGTTGTTGTTGTTTTTAGAGTTCTTCAGTTTCCTGTCTTTTATGTTGTGACGTTCCTGTTACTGTGGTCGTCTGTACTATCTTCACAATCAACGTTATAAAGAATTTCAGATGCAAGGTTTACGTTTTATTCTATATACTTTACGAAAGCATAGTTTAGTTTCTTATATTTAAACAATAATCACTAAACATAAACAAAAAGGAAATTATCTTGCTTGCAATACAGTTGGGAAGAAACGGATCACTTTAAACCTTCAGAAAACGAAGTAACGAGACATTCCCCACGCTTGGAACTGTTTACTTATTTGTTTAGACTTTTGATTAATCGAGAAAATGGTGGACTGTTTCAAGGAACCGTGACAACTGACAACCCTTGGAAGACTATGGCCCTATTATATATTAGGGGTCTATTTCTGAATTTAATTTCTATTTGATCAATTATGAGTTGATGATTTGGACAAAATAAAAAAAAAGGTTAGTTTTTCATCGATATGAATATATTCATTAACTTCCATTACAGTTGGAAAGTAACAGAGCACTTTTAATACAGAAAGTAAAGTAAAAGGACATTCTACAAGTTTGAACGTTTACTTGTTTAGATCACCGAGGAAACTGAATAGTTTGATTTCTTCAAAATTGACTATTTTTTAAAACCTTGAAAAATAAAATGTTGTTACTTGCCTAATTTATTCTTACACGTGTCAAAGTACTCCCTCTCCCTCTGTTTCATTATAAGTGTCACTCTACAGCTGTGCACACGGATTAAGGAAACAATTAATTTTACATATTTCCTATATAAAAACACAATTACCCGTATACCTAACCATATTTTAACCAATAGAAAAACAAATTACATAATAAAACTAATAAATTTTGCATTGAAAACCGAAAACGACACTTATTTTGTAACGCAAAAAAATCTCTACAGTGACACTTAATATGAAATGGAGGGAGTATTAATATTCGAAGTGTTTGGTGTATCTGCAATTCTGCATTTATCGCCAATCACCTTACAGGAAATTTAGAAGTTAGATTCCGCATTATGCTCTACTTCTGCTTCTAGAAACTGCAATTAATTATCATCATCATGGATTCTAGTTAGATAGCTTGTAGTCTATTATGGGACCTAGAATACGAGAGCAAGCATTTTGGTGATATCCTTAGAACATCTCCAAAAGACATTCTATAATTTCAAATATGAAATTTTTGTATCCAAAAAGTAACTCTAAAACTTTAAATTTGAAATTTTGAATAGTGAAACTTCAATTATAGAGTGTCATTATTCAAAACTTCAAATTTGAAGTTTCATATTTTATTTACATTTTGATCCTTACAATTACAAATCATATTTATAATAATCTTAAATATTTATTATTTATCATTTTAATCCCTAAAATTATTATATTCAAAACTATATTTAGAAAGTTAAATTTTCTATTTAAAAAAAAGCCTCAAGATAATCTTTAAAATATTTTAAAACTAGAAGTAGACAACAACAATATTACATGATATAATTCGGTATTTTGTTTGTACTTTAATATTTAATTATATATTTCTATTTATAGTTTTATATTTTAGTGTAACATTTTATCAAATGATATTTCTATAATATTTTTATATATGAAAATTGGTTAAGAACGGGATAGAGGCGATTGGTTTAGCGCGGTTCGGATCACAAAGATTGGTTAAGAAACCCTCTATACCATTCAGCAGGTCTACCACTGTTTGCAAAAGCTGTCAAAACCCATTCGAGATATTTTCTTCTCAAAAGCCCAATCACATTCACTTTAGGGTATTATTATTTCCCAAAAGATCCGACGTCGTTCTCAAACATCCTTTTCTTCGCGTTTAGTGAAAAAAAGTTCCTTGCTTCGTAGCTGAAGAAGAAGCATTCGTTAAATCCCTAAAGCCTAAACCTTTACCTCTCTCTCTTATATCATATTCTCTGAGAGTACTCATTTCGATCAAAGAGATGAGTATCCCAATGGAGCTGATCTCAATCAGAAACCCTAATTCAACCTTCCTCCACAGACCTCACTCTCGTCCACCCGTCACGCTTCGTCCTCCTCGTTTCCAACACCTCCCTACCCAACGCAATCTCACTGCTCCAGCTCTCGTTTCCTGTACCGGTTTACGTCTCCGGTTTAGCTCAGATACCAAGCTTAATCGCTCCTTCGTTAGTTTCGCCGCTTCCCGCGAAGATTCGGTGAGATTTTGCTCTGTTTTACTCTGTTTTGCTCTGTTTCTGCTAAAAAGACTTGTAATTGCTCTGTTTTGGAATTAGGGTTTTGGTAAAGTTTTGTCCTTTTTCTCAAAAAAGCAAGACTTTATGTAATATCTTTGTATGCTTGACTATAATTAGCTATCAAGTGACAGTATTGTCTTTTTCTTTCATGAACAGGAGCCATCAGGTGTTGAGGTGGAGAAGGAGAAGAGTGTGTTAGATGGTGATGATACATCTCCGGAAGCATGGAAGCAAACTCTCGAGTCTGTTAAAGAACAGGTGTCAAAGATTCAGAGCGTGTCTTCCGAGGCGTACAATGTTAACTCCCAAAAGGCGATGACCATCTTGAAAGATACTTCAGAGCAGCTTAGGATTCAAGCGGAGAAGGCTAAAGAAGAGTTGGGTACTAAAGCTAAAGAGGTTGGGGAGGAAGGTAGAGAGTATATTCTGAAAGCGGCGGAGGAGTCACCTTCGGATGTGAAGGAGATTGTTGAAGCTTTCTCTTCCACTGAGGATTTGACTGATGTGGCGAGGACTCAAGATTTTCATGTTGGGATACCTTATGGTAAAACACGTTGTTTTTGAATGTTTATGGTTTGTGTAATTGGATGACTAAAAGAATGTCTTTTTTTTTTGTTACAGGGCTTCTTTTGTTTGTGGGTGGTTTTCTTTCCTTTATGATATCAGGAAGCATTCCTGCCATTAGGTTTGGGATGATTCTTGGTGGAGCTCTTTTTGCAATGAGCCTGGGGAGTCTAAAGGCTCAGAGGATAGGAGAGTCATCTGCTAAGTTCTTAAAAGGACAGATGGGTTAGTGAAAGTTTTTTCATCTGTTTAGACTCTTTTGTATATTTGCTTTTTGATTAGGTAAAAGCTTTGATAACCACTCAGACTTTGCCAAGTAGCTCTTAGCTAATTATGAAGGAACTAGTTAAAGCTGTATTGGACTTATACTTATTTCAAGAGATACTTGGACTTGTTCAGTTATATAATCAACAGATTATCATTTCACTAATGTGATTTCTCCGAGATCTTTTTATGTAAAACATTGTTGTTGACACTCATTTGTTTACATGTGCTTATCTTCAACAGCTATAGTGGCAATCATATTTTTGAGAGAGTTGAAGGTACTATTACAGGTAACGTCATTACATTCCAGATAGTTCAGTTCATTTATTTGAAAAGGTACTTTTGAGTGAAACATAATTCACTCTCCTGTTTTTTTCTTTCTACAGAGATCTACGTTCATGGGGTTTTTAACCACCCTTACAAGGTCACACTCAAAACAAATTTTCTTTTCCATTTTCCTTTTAGTTGAGCAACACGATTGCAAGAAGAGCCTAAGCTAAACCTCAAAGATATATCTAATGTTAATGTAGTCATACTTCACATATATACATTAGATTCATGTTCCATAGAAAAAAGATAACACACTTTGCATCTTGCATATTGAAGTTTATTAGGATTGACATCAGAAAGAAGGTTTTAAATTTGTTGGATTACTGTTGTTGCAGTGGCGGTGTGTTGGCGTTTTACGGGTACAAGTTGGTGAGCAACAAAGAAAAGGGGCCAAGCATAGAACAAGGTGGAGAAGAAGATGAATCAAGCGAAGGGTTTGTAAGAAGAGAAGGATAGAGACATGGCAACATGAGCATCATAGTCTGTTATATTGATATCCGAACTCTATGTTCTCTCTTTACGTTTGTGTACAACTTTTGTGATCAATCATCTTTTAAACTTCTGTGTACTGTATTTGGATTTGGTGGAATAACAGGGTTAGGCTCTTCTAGAGATGCCACCAACAAAAGAAAGCATAATGAATTGAACCGAGATTCTTATTACTTCTATAATGTAACAGCTCCATGGAAAGTGACCAATGGTCACTCTACGAGTATTGTGTGGACTAAGTTGCAATATACTAAATATAGATCAAAGAAAAAGTTGAAAGAACTAAAACAAAGATATCTTTGAACTCCTCATACAAAGTGATGGACTCAAAAGTCCATATGAGTTTCAGTATTGTTGGGCTGGCTGTCCAGAGGCATGTACTGCGCCATGATCGACCGAATCTCCGAGTCCATGTAATGCTGCAACATATGTAACAATACATGGTTATTTTGGTTAGAATAGATAGCAACATCTTCAAGTCTCTATATGAATTGAACATTACCCTGATTCTGTATTTGTAAATAGCATATCCTGAAAGAGTCGCAGCAGTTAACGCTAGTAAGAGTATCAACACAAAGCTCCAGCCTAGCTTCATTACTCCAAATGCTCCTGTATCACCAAATGCACTCTGCATTCAGGCTAGAGTGCAGAGTTTCTTAATTGCAACATTTTGAAGAATGGTTACCAATGCAAGTATCATGCTCACGCAAGTAAAAACCCTTCCTGCAGCTGCATTCAAAACTTCCCCATGTGTTTTTGCATTTACACTCTGGGCACTGGCAAGCCAGTTTCTCTTTGCACTCATCCACATCTGTCAAACCACAAATAGTACCAGACCAACATGCAAACCGATGCTGGTTAGTTAGAGCTAATATGATGTTATGTCTTTTACAAAGTTAGTTGCACATGAAAGACTAGTACATATACATGCATATACCTTCGCAGCTCTTTACACCATCCCCCTTGAAACCAGGAGGGCATTTGCAAACATTTGAATGATCATCCTAATAAAGTCCATTTTCATAAAGCTTCAGAAAATGATATGTTAAGATTTTAGATTTGGCAAATGGCATATACTTACAGTGCAAGCAGAGTATGTGTAGCCACCTCTGGTTTCTCTCCAGCATCCTCCATTATTGAATCCACAGCGCAAAGCTCCAGAAGCTGTTCACAAGTGCAAATTATTAAAAAAAAAAGCAAGAAGAAGCAGCATGCAATACTATCTTCTGAATACCATATCAAACACAACATTTAACTTAATAAGACTATCCAAAAGTTACAAATATAGGAGCAATGCTAAAATATCAAACTAATCTACCTTTACAGTGAGTGTAACCATCACCAACAAACTTGACACCTTGAACAGTAGGGCACTCACACAATCTTCCCCTGAAAGTGTCCTTAAATACCAATCAGAACAAAAAAGATTTATCAGATTCAGTAGAATTAACATAACAAATGTTTTTGAAAAGATCAACTCAAGTAGATACCAGGCATGCAGTGATGTTAGCAGCTCTATCTTGCCAGCATCCACCATTGTTTTCTAAACACTCATTGGTGTTTTGATCTGCAAAAAAGAAGAAGCAAGTTTCCTCCAAGTTATTGAGAATCTAAATAACTTTGTTTTATATTAATCTTTCAGATATAAAAGGTGACCTTCAGTTAAACATATGGCTGGTTCTGTTGACTCTTGAAACCCTGCGCATATAGCTTTCAGCACTGCTCCTTTCTCCAACTTACCTAAGACCACAAGAATTATATCAGAAACAATCAAATAGGTAAACATGTTTTAGTATGGATCTGAGTAGTACCTCTGTATTGCCTGTTGTTCACCACAAGTGTTGGGAGGATAGTAACATCTCCACGAGAACCTTTGCCTACCTGTATTATAATCTACAACAATGAGCTCAACTCTGGTTGGAGTCAACTGGTTTCATAAAGAGACAAAACCTGTGACTCCTGTTCTGCTTTAAGAACTGGATTCTCCACATCTCCTTCAGTGTCTCCCATACACAAGTACACCTTCTCAACATCAATTCCTGAAACCACAACACAAAAAAAGAAATGTAGAATTTATCTAAAAGGAAAATAATCTCATAAGCTAATGAAGTCATTACACTCACCAAGTGACTTAATAACTTCATCAGCACATTCACTTGTATACTTGTTATACTTCATGGGACACCTAACAGAAAAATCAGTAGCATAGTCCCACCATTTCCACGCCTTACCACTCTCATTAACAACTCTAAACACACAAGCGTGACGCAAATTCTGAACAACAACATCTTTTCCATCATACCCTTTTGTGAAATCCTGCTCAGGATCAGGAGCACAGTACCTTCCATGGTTGATACACTGAGACTTACACTGTTTACTCACCAAGAAAGCCTTGGGACAATACCAAGTGATGAAATGTGGTGTGAACTGAGTGTACCCTCCTTTCTCAAGAATCTGAGCTGCTCCTTTAAAGTTCTTGAGAAACTGAATCTGTGTGTCACATTTTTTACCACACTCATCGTTGCTATCGGTCCAAAGCTCGTATTCCACACGCTCGTCTGGGTGTGGAACTGACTCGGTCCAGTCTAGTTTCATGTTGACCATGTTACCATCTGATATAGCCGATTTTATGCTGTCTCCTAACGATTTGCTGATTAGTGCTGAAGGAATGTTGATCTTTTCTAGATATTCTAAATTAGCGTTGTCTTCTTCTGGTGTGTCCATTGTGATTAGTGGTTCCAGTTTGTTATCAGCTACTAGAATGGCTGCTGCTCCGGCTTGTTGAGCGTTCCATGCCTTGAGAGCGAAGTAACAATCTGTTAATAAAGAACCAACTCAGGTTAAGAGAGTAAAACACTCTACACACCACACAATAGCACCAGTAAAAAACTTGTTGCTGTATGATAAATATTATTGATTCTGGAAAACCACATTATACAGTATACATTTTTAAGATTAAGAAAAGTACATTTACTAGATTTTTTTTTCTAAATAGAAAATGAATATCGAGTTTTGAAGTTGTATAAATACGAATTTAAAAAGTTATAAAGTATTCATTCATGTAATTAATATACAAAACTCTAAAATGAGTATTTGACTCAATAGTGTTTTCTTTCTAAGTATTCTTAATTTCTTTGTGATTAATTCATGTTTGTACACAACAAAGATTTTCTGACATCTTTTAAGTCCAAACAGAGTTACAAAACAGGGCTTTCACCAACTTTGTTTATATCACATAACAATAAGGAAAGTGAGATAGAAAAGAAAGAAGACAAACCTCCTCGATCAATAAGAAGGAAAGTTGGTAAGCTTCCAGCAGAGGATTTGAAGGAGACACCGAACTCGCTGAAGCTCTTACACCCCTTATGGTTCGACATGGGATACACGACGGTTCCAACAAGTGTTCCACCGTATTTTGGAATTCCAAAATTACCAATGGCACATTCGTAAACACCTTTGATGGTGTCAGGTGAAGTTACTTTAAGGTTGTTCTTCTCCACCAAGAATGAACCAAAGACTAGTTCCAGGATAAGAACAAAAGAGAGTGTTAAAACTCCAAACTTCATCTTCACGGTTTTTAATCAAGCGCACTATTAAAAGATTCAATGCTTCTTCTGCGCAGCAAGCAGCTTTTAAGATTCCAAGACAGAGGAAGTCCTTGCAAGATGTAAAGGATGATTCTTTTATATCGTTAACGAGACGATGAGATCAAAAAGGAAGCTTGAGGTTTTGGCAGAGAATCAAAAGCAGGAGTACTATTAGAAATGTCTATGTATTCTTAAGTTTATAACTGAACACACTGATTAATGGTTATGAAAAAGTTAACTTAAAACACGTGTTATGATATGTTTATTTTAACTACTTTTTTTGTCTACTTATATACTTCCTTATCTACGCTACATACAAAAAAAAAGACTGAGACGAGTTAATATCATTTGTTCATTCTTAAAGAAGAGATTACTGTTTTGTTAGATAACTTTATTTGGGGAAAAAAGTATTGTGTTTGTATTTTCATAATTGCATGGGAAGCACGTGTTTCACGTCGGTGACGGCTTAACACGAGTGCATAGAAGACAGGGTCCTTTGCCTTCACCGCTCACGTGTCGTCCATTTCTTTCTTTACATCAACGTGAAAGATGCCCAAATTAACGGTGGCTCTCGAGTCTTTTTGACTCACTAGCTATCTGGGAAAATCCATTTTTAAAGACCTGGATCAATGATTCAATGTTATCTATGTTAAATCTTGATAACATTAAACATAACTAATATGTGTGGATTCTATCAATTATACGTTGTTTATAACAGTTCGCTTTTATATATTTTCCAAGTGACTTTCCAGTAAGTGAGTCAATGAAATAAGTGGATATTATCATCTTATTACAAATAGAAAAGGAGAAAAAGGAAGGTTTTGTTTTTATTCACAAAAAACCCAAACATACTATAAAAAGCGTCTGGCCCAATAAGGGCCTTACTTGTAGCCCATTCTCGATACAGTAACCTCGAGCAAGACAGAAGCGTGAATCTAGTAACATCCATAGACCAAGCCACGTGATCCAAACCGTTGATTCCCTAAAGCCGTAACCGAAACCGTTGATCGCCAAATAAGAAACACTGCTTCACGACGTAATCTCTATCTTCCCCGTCCCGACAAGAACCAAGTTCCGTCCGAAAAACACATCTCATTCTTCTNACAGTAACCTCGAGCAAGACAGAAGCGTGAATCTAGTAACATCCATAGACCAAGCCACGTGATCCAAACCGTTGATTCCCTAAAGCCGTAACCGAAACCGTTGATCGCCAAATAAGAAACACTGCTTCACGACGTAATCTCTATCTTCCCCGTCCCGACAAGAACCAAGTTCCGTCCGAAAAACACATCTCATTCTTCTTCAATCGCAAAGTTACAACCTTTAGCGTTTCTTTTCTTATTCTGAATCGTCTCGGATCTGTTCGGTGTCTTTGCAAAAGAATTGACGATTTTCGGTGACGATGGAAAGTGAATTGATTGAATTGTTCGAGGCGGCGAAGAAGGCAGCCGATGCGGCGGCGATCGACGGTGTTACCTCCTCAGGTCCGGAGGTTTCTCGATCTCTCGATGCCCTTAAACAGCTCAAGAAGTTTCCCATCACATACGACATGCTCGTCGCCACTCAGGTGCGTCTCTGATTCATCTCTTTACGTTACAAAGTTTTGATCATTGAATACTCTGTTTGAATCAGAGGGTTCTCTCAATGTTTGCTTGCCTAATCTCTAGCATTGACCATTAATTTCATCTGAAACTTTCCAAAAATATGAAAAGATAGAAACTTTTATTAAGCTTATTGCTGATAGTGTTTGTGTTGCTTTTTAAAAGAAAGTTATATTCTTTTCTATTGCTTTCTAGGTAGGAAAGAAGCTGAGGTCTCTTTCAAAACATCCTATCGATGAAATCAAAACCGTAGCTACTGATCTTCTTGAGATTTGGAAGAAACTTGTGATTGAAGAGACATCCAAGTCTAAGGTAGAGAGGAAAGATGTTGACAAGACACCAAATCCCACGCCTGTGAAAGTGCCGAAGCTTCAGAGAGGTGATTCAGCTAAGAGCATCAAGGTAGAGAGAAAGGAGCCAGAGAATGGAGTTAAGGTAGAGAGAAAAGAAAGAGACAATGGAGTTAAGATAGAGCATCGTGGTAAGACTGTGAAAGATGAGAAGGAATCAAGTGTGAAAGCTCCGGCTAATACTGCACCAAAGCTGACTTCGATGGTCAAATGCAATGATCCCGTGCGTGACAAGATCCGTGAGCTTCTTGTGGATGCAATGTCCAAGGTTCATGAAGAGTCAGATGATTACGATAGAGCGAGAGTTGTTGGATGTGATCCAATCCGCGTCGCTGTTGCGGTGGAGTCTCACATGTTTGAGAAGTTAGGCCGGTCAACGGGAGCTCAGAAGCTCAAGTACAGATCTATAATGTTCAACCTGAGGGACAGTAACAACCCTGATCTGAGGAGGAGAGTTTTAACAGGGGAGGTGTCTCCGGAGAAACTCATCACAATGTCTGGTGAAGATATGGCAAGCGACAAGAGGAAACAAGAGACCAATCAGATCAAGGAGAAGTTTCTGTTTGATTGTGAGCGTGGTCAGGCGCCAAAAGCGAGTACTGATCAGTTCAAGTGTGGGAGGTGTGGTCAGCGTAAATGCACTTACTATCAGATGCAGACAAGGAGTGCTGATGAGCCGATGACGACTTATGTTACTTGTGTTAACTGTGACAACCACTGGAAGTTCTGTTGAGGTGAGAAGATATATATATGTGTGTTTTTTTTTTATATTTCATGAGACTACGTTTAAGAAGACATAAGAGGCTCTGATTGATTTATCAAGAGCTTCATGTCTATTTGCCAGAATATTCTGAGAATGTTTCTGGCTCTGATGTTTGTGTAAGGATACCAGCTCAGTGTCTTAGAGATTCGTAAGTAGGGGGAGTTCAGTAATTTAGGTGTCTGTAGCTCTTATTTCTGTTGCTTCTTTTCTACCACACATGTCAGACTTGTCAATTTTCTTGCAATTTTTATCAAAGTTTTGAAGTTCATTATTCCAAAATTTTGACAGACATTTATCAGTCTATACCTATATTAGTTGCTTGTGCTTTGTATCTTAAACATAAAGAAATCAAGACCATGATATCTAGGAGAGTGAGAAAGAAAAAAACTCTTGATCTAGGGACTGGCAGATAAGTAGTGGTTTAATCACACGTTTAAACAATTAAAGAAATGTAGATGGATTAGATAAAGAAGGTGTTGCGAGTGGCATTCAAATCTATGATAATTCAAAGGGAAAGAACATAACACATACATGAGAAGGAGCGTTAGTGTGATGATGAACTCATTGGCTATTATTCTTTTAAAAAAAAAAAATATTTGTGAGCGAAGCAACAACTCTTAACGGACTTGTCAATCTAGTAGTAGTGTTGACAACTCTTAACTCCATTACCTGCTGTCCTTTACATTTTCCATTACACTACTACTAACGTGTCATCCACTTTTACATTGACAAAAGTTAATAACGATACTATCCTTGTCAGCATCCAATCCATTATGTAGTCTTATTTGGGTCCTGTTCGTTTCGTGAATTGGATGAGAATTCCAGACGCAGCATCCACGCGCAGTAATTGGATGCAGCATTCAGATATTGTTCGTTCGCGATTCTGGAAATTTTGGATCATGCGTCTGGAAATTATATCTGGATGCAATTATGTTCGTTTTGTATTCTTTATTTTGTATCTGGATTAGTTTTATGTCAAATGACCAA